TATGTTCAAGACGATCACATATTGATGTAATATGGAAATACTAGTAACCTTATTTGCACTTAACCGACAGTTGACTTGTCACTTTATGAATATGAGTAAATTTACTAGAAGCTCTAAAGAGCCTATGTCGCTCACCTAGGTCTATGTGATTCTTCAACAATGGACTCTCTCCAACATTGTGGATTAGAAATAATTCATGACAAAAATCTCTTTTTTGTTGATCTTGTATTGCTGATCAATTTTACTATTTACAGTTTCTCTCTATCTCTATAGTTTTTGCCCAAAACACAAAAACGGGTAAAAAAAATCGCCATTCAAGGGCAACAACTCCTATATAGAGTCTACAAACGATTTTTGCAAAATTAAACTTATTTTGTAGATCTTGTCATGCTGATATTTTTTGCTATTTGAATTGTCTATCTATCTTTAATAGTTTTCAAGATAATAGGCTAAAACGTAAAATATTGGTTTATTTTTTTCATTAAAGGGCTTTAACTCCAAGATCGTCATACTATTTTAACAATGTGGGTTTTTTGTAGATCTTGTCTTGCTGATTATTTTTTGTTTTTTTTTGTTTATTGAAGTTTCTATCTAAATATTATAGTTTTTCAGATATTAGGAAAAAACTCAAAAACAAACGATAAAAATTTAGGGGGAAACAACTCTAATAAGGGGTCGTCAGAAGACTCTTGTCTTAAAACTAAAGAAGCTAGAGAAAAACCGTCCCAAACTAGGGGAGAGCCAGCTGTCGAGACTGCATTGCTAATTGTTAGGAATATTAACTACATTAGTCGTATTCTTAAATCAAAACATGTTAATTTTTGTAATAAAACATATGAAAACAGCGGAATTAACCACTTTTGGAGTGTAAAAAATTCTTTGGATGTTTTAGATAAATTACGTGCATTTGATGGTCCTTGTGATTCGGTTGACAGTTTTGACTTTTCCACTCTATATACTACCCTTCCACACAATCTTATCAAACAAAAGTTTTCCTATCTAATTAAATGGTCGTTTGATAAATCTGGTTGCAAATTTATTTGCTGCAACTCATATAAAGCCTTTTTCTCTAACGAGAAAGGTTAATATGCTAGATATACTTACTGGAGGTGTGATGAGATGATTAAAGCACTAACTTTTCTCCTTGACAACATTTATAAAGTTTATCGACAGAATGTAAGTATTCCTATGGGCACTAATTGTGCCCCTTTAATAGCAGACTTGTTCCTATACTGCAATGAATTACAGTTTATGGCCAAACTCAGTAAAGAACCGTCTAAATTCCATTTAATTGATATATTCAACAACACTAACCGTTATCTTGATTATATTTTTTTGTTAAATAATCAAGAATTCTCTAATTATACTGCTGAAATTTACCCAAAGGAACTTCCTTTAAATAAATCTAATATCAACAGCAATAACTGTCGTCTCCTAGATTTAGATATTTTAGTATTACACTAGAAACTCTACACAAAAATTTACGCCAAAAGGGATGATTTTGCTTTCCCTATTGTTAATTTTCCCTTTTTGGACGGTGATGTTCCTTTGGCACCGTCTTACGGTGTTTATATAGCCATCTTGTTCGCTATGCTCGTGTTTGTAGTGACTTTTTGGATTTTAATTAGCGTAATCAATGTATTACTAGTCAATAATTAAGTCAGGGATTTCGTTACCACATATTACTTATAACCTTTACGATACAAAGATTTTGTCTGCAAGTTTGGCTGTACTTGTAGAAAACTTATTTCAAACGGAATAGCACATCCTAAATTTTTCGCTGATGTTGTAAACCGAGCCCGGAAATTAGATACGATCCGGATAAACTTATCAATCCTTTAAATAAACTTATTCTAAAAGGTTACCAATTCAACGCTGTAATTAAATCTTTGAATATTGTTTTTATTGGTGTAAATATTGATTTTGTTATCAGTACATTAAAACCATACTTAATATTACACATATGTACTTTCACGGTACTACAATCTGTCGATACTTATAGTTTGGCATGGTCATGTTTTTCTCTGACTGTTAATGACGTCTTTACACTAAATCCATTGGATGTTTGATGTGTACTGATTGATATTTTAGTCTAAGATACATGATTTTTTTCATTAGTTTTTATTGGCTTTGAACTAGCTGTCAGTAACTGCGAGTACTCTCAGATCTGTACTTAGTGTCTTTTTGTTTTTGGGATGTATAAGAACCCGTCCACTTCCACTTTTTGTTTTTGTTAGATGTATTTCTATTTGTATCCATCTGATGAGTTAAGCCTTTTTCAACTGATTTTTATATTTTGTTCTTATGTTGTACTGTTACACCACTGTCCCAGGTTAGGGGAGGGTTGAGCGCTCACAAACATGTTTAACCTCGCCACATTCTTTATGTGCCTGTCCCAAGTCAGCAGCCTGTAGTTCATTGGTTGTCGTTGGTTCATGTCTATTATATTTGTTCTTCGTAAATTGTTTTGTTATAAATTATGCCGTTAGTTTTCTCAATTGAATTGTTTTATATTTTTCATGTCGTGGCCTTTTATAGCCGACCATACGGTATGGGTTTTTCTCATTGTTGAAGGCCGTACGGTTGCCTATAATTGCTTACATCCACTTCATTTGAACTTTGGTGGATAGGTTGTTTCATTGGCAATTATACCACATATCCTTATTTATTTTAATGCTGCTGTATTCAAAAATTATAATTTGAATGTTGAATTTAAGGAAAGCTCTGATTTTGAAATTAAATCCTTCTCTTTTGCTTTCGATTGATATCATCCCGCATTTCATGTTATATTGTTCGCTGAACGGGCAACGATCAGAGCTAAGCCTAGGTCGTTTTCTACCTACAACCCTTGAATTTATGAAATTGACATTATAATTATTATCGATATAATTATCTTTTTCATCTACGTAAATCGATTTGTGTTTTTCGCCACTTTATTTAAGATTTTTTAAACATTAATTTCATTCGTTTGATCAAATTTCTTAATTAAATTTGTCACTTGTCTACAAAAGAAATCCCTTTTTGTTTCATTTTTGCAAACACCTTTGAAAATCTTTTTTATGATCTCTCATGTAAATATCAAAAATGAATCCAGTTTGCATGTTCAATTACGGGTGGGAATTAAAGATTAAATGTTGTTTATATACACCTGTATTTTACCCTTGGGCTGTCTTCGTGTTGTCTTTTGATAATTTGAAGGAACATTATCGTCTTTTGAAACTATATCAAAGACTGAAATGGTTTTTTTTTTACGATTGCATACGACATTAATATAAAATTATTGCTGGCGATTTTTAGTACGGATATACTGAGACTACTATAATGGCGGATAGACGCCTTCTTGTCAATCATTTCGCGTCACGTGCCGAGTCACGTGATCGTAAGCACCATTTTGATTACAATTTTACAATTTACAAATTGTTCATCTGAATTTAACCCATTAGCGATCAAAATTACCCAAGTCTAACGGACTACTAGACATAAGTACTAACTCACTGTTACTTTCCGATTTGATGAGTAAATTTAAAGCCTATGAATACACTAGTTTATTTAAAGTGTTTAAAAACAAACATTTATTAACATTTCAAATCCTATTTTCATACTTTCTGAAATATACCACTCTTCAATCAGTCACATCGGTTGTAAAATTAGTTATTATTTTCTTTTCCGTAATCAACAATGGCGGATAGATGCCTTCTTGTCAATCATTTCGCGTCACGTGTCGAGTCACGTGATCGTAGGCACCGTTTTAATTGGAATAGGATCCCAGTTACGGCAACCAGTCCGGTACCCACGAATGTAGTTCTTAAAAAAAATATATAACTTTTATTTAAAATGGTGTAGTTTTATTATTACACAAGTTCTGTAACTGAATGTAGATTTATTTGAAAGGGTAGGCTTTCTAGCTTGAATTTCTGTAAAAATTTTGATTGATTTAAATGTAATCAGGCGTCGGTACATAGAGTAAATTGCCTAAATTCTAGCGTTTATTCTTCCCCGGAAGTTGATGGACCTACCCTGTTGTCAATCGAAACAAATTTTTGCAACGGAATGCCGGTCATGAGGCACTGAGATTGTACTTAGAAACTTCGAAACAAATGCCTAACATGAAACAGAAGTCCCAAGGTGGCTATCAAAATTATTTATTGGACAGCACCCCATTTATTTACTATGATTTTCAATGCGTTTCAATGGGGGAAATAACTGGGTCCCCGTTCCTGTCAGAGGGCATATTTTGAACACTTCAATCTGCAATTGTAAGCTTGTTTTTGGGGTTACATGGATGAAATTTGGCCAGAAACTTGAAAAGTCAATAAGAAAAACAATGGTGTAATTATTTTTAAAATTTGAATTAAACTTTTTAAATTAAACTGAAATTTAAATTTATGAAATTTTTAAAAAGTTTGTTTTTCAATTTAAAGTTTCAGAAGGGGTCACAGTAAGGTCATTTTGATGGTATTATGTATTCATACACTTGTAAGTTAAAATGGAGGGATTTTTCAAAAAATTTCAGCAAAGAATATTAGAAAAGAGCCACCTGGCAAGAAATAACAAATGTCTTATATGGGATCAGGGGACAACAAAAGATGGAAAATATGGGCTTATTTCTTTCCAGTAACATATTTCTGGGACCTGGAAAAAGAAAAAAGCCCATATATTCAGTTTTATGGTTTTTAATTAGTTTTTGATAAGTTTTAAATATTAAATACAACATTTTATGCCATTTTATGTGTCAAAAAAGTTTGTGTGGGAATGCGGGTCACATTACCGAAGAGCCGCATCACATAAATAACCACAGAATATTTCGTAAACTCAGAAAATCTTGCCAGGGGCTCTCCAATTTTCCAGATTGGGGCCTGGATTTTTTTGGAAGATATATAAGGGGTAGGGCTATAGCTTATATAAACAATTTTAACTGAATGTACAACAATTTTAGACTCCTTTTTAAAGATTTTGGTGGTCCTTAAAAGGACCGTTAATTTTGTCTGTATCTTTTTCAGCAGTAGATGAATGCAGCTATATCTTCCTTTGATTTTGGAACTTTTGAAGAACAGCTTCTGGTAGGTATATTCTTCTTAGCAGGTATTACTCTACCATATGAATGATCGTCCTTTATGCTTTTACAAATGCAGCATCAAGTTTTGGATCAGGTTGCCCTTTTTTACATTTGTATATCTATCTGTACATTTACTTCGATCCTTTTCTTCCACATGAACCTTAGTCTTCTGTCCGCCGGTTGTAAATTTTTCTTTTTCCTTTCTGGAGTATTTTGGTTTACTTTGTTCCGTTCACACTCCCTTTACATCTGGTCGAAGTGTTTTAATGAACCTATTGAGATTTTAAAACCAATACATTCTGCTTTTTGTCACAAGGAATAAGCTATACCATTATTCAAATTGTGAATTATTGCTGATGCCCTCCCTTCAAATTTCTAGAAAAGTTCACATTCTTTGGTAAGGAAACACTTAGTGCTCCCTTAACAGCTTCACCTTTTTGAGTACATGTATTATGATTAAATTTCATTTTCATAAATACTTCTTCGCTAAGTTTCATTTTTAAAAGTTCCCGCATTATTAACTTGTCTTTGTTATCCATATTCAGGTTGGTTAACTTGTTTGGACCCAAGTACATAGATCTCTGCCACCAACAGTTTGAGTGTTCACCACCACCACACACGTATGAACTAGTGGGACATTTAGAGCAGTCACAAGTATAACAATGCACAGTAGCATTAAGCATTCAGGCAGATCCAGGATTTCCCTCGACATTTGTTATACTGTAGGAGGTGCCGTCTTGACTGGTTTTAGCTACAAGTGAGAACTTCTCAGCATCTAGCCTGCTCCATTGTATATTAAATGAACTTAGCTGACTGTTTGAAGACTAAGTCTCATGATTTATACCCTTGTTATGGGGTATGCTTCTTTGCATATGTAATTCTTATAAGATTTTTTTTTTAATTAAAAAATTAATTATAATTAACTTTTTTTCAGCAAAATTTTTTTTAACTAGATTTCTATACAAATAATGAATTTATCTATCATGTGCAATTTACAGAATGTAAATATCTTTTAAAATAAAAAAGTTTTGCTGATTTTAAGAATATTTTCTTCATGAATTTATGATTTTATCCGATCAATTTTCTGGTATTTGAGATGTCATAGATAAGGATCAATAACTCTTTAACTGTTGGATCAAATCTATTGAAGCTTTGCACAATAACTACTGAGATGTATATCTTTATTTTAAAAGTGCAGTTTTAAGTCTGGAAAAAAAATTAAAGTCTGACAGGAATAGGATCCCAGTTACGGCAACCAGTCCGGTACCCACGAATGTAGTTCTTAAAAAAAATATATAACTTTTATTTAAAATGGTGTAGTTTTATTATTACACAAGTTCTGTAACTGAATGTAGATTTATTTGAAAGGGTAGGCTTTCTAGCTTGAATTTCTGTAAAAATTTTGATTGATTTAAATGTAATCAGGCGTCGGTACATAGAGTAAATTGCCTAAATTCTAGCGTTTATTCTTCCCCGGAAGTAGATGGACCTACCCTGTTGTCAATCGAAACAAATTTTTGCAACGGAATGCCGGTCATGAGGCACTGAGATTGTACTTAGAAACTTCGAAACAAATGCCTAACATGAAACAGAAGTCCCAAGGTGGCTATCAAAATTATTTATTGGACAGCACCCCATTTATTTACTATGATTTTCAATGCGTTTCAATGGGGGAAATAACTGGGTCCCCGTTCCAATTACAATTTTACTGGTCAATACGGGAAGTGACCAATCTCTGTGTTATAGTAGTCTCTCAGGGATATAGAACGATTCCAAATTGTTCCAATTTGCCAAGGATTTGTATAGTAATACTTACATAACGTTTATCTAGGTGTTTAGGCGATGCAAATATCCGCCATTAATCCAGGCACGCTGAGCATCTTCGAAATACACCATGGTTAATAACACAAAATCTCGCGCTGCATAACACATTATAATACAGTCTATGCAAAAGTCCACGAGATTTCAATCCTTCTTACTATACAAATCCTTGAATTTGCTAATTTTATTGAATTTGGTGGTTTGTTCTATACTAGATCTGGGACTATTATACTATGTTAGTGTAATAGTCCCAGACTAGATCGGTGAACATTTTATTATCTAGCTCTGTCAAATCTTTAAATATGGCGATCCCGGGAAATACAGGTGTCAGAACACCAATTCGATCACTCACTCTAATTTAGAACGTATGCAAAAGTAGCCCTTTCCCTGACAAAAAATAGTGCTTTTGATGTCATTGTTTACCTAAACTAACCAACAAATTTGCAGATATGAAAATCTAAAATCGTTGTCAATAATTATGTACATTTCACAAAAATGTACGCACTTGTCGATCGTTGGTTTATAAAGATAGAAAGTTACGGAACTATAGATAGTCACAATTTAAAGTGTATATATTGAAAATAAGAGAGAAACCTCCAGAACCAATCTGATTTAAATCCAGATCTATATCTAACTTGCTTTGCTTCGTCGAAGTTATGAACATAGCAAAATCACATATATATATTTCAATTAAAATGTTCCAGAACAGCTTAAAAATTCGTCATCACAATTGTTAGTTATATTGTATAATAATGTGAACATGGTGAAATAGCACGTAAAATTCCGACTTAGTGTGACTATCTTGTAAAAAGTAGGGTTCTTATAATACCCAATGGCAATTTCCCGTTCCGACATGCATATCATACATGTATGTGTCTCTGGACGTTAAAATTCCATTCCATCATTATCATCTTCGTCAAATATTGCTGGTGTTTTTTTACATGTACATGTATGCACTCCAAGTTATCCCTATTTAAACTCATTTACATAAAAGGTTATATGTATAACACAGATATTTAGTGCAAAGGAAATTCTAAAGATGAAAGTACATTAGGCTGACATAGTTCGATAATGCTTCGAATTATATAGAAACAGAGCATATCAAAAAACTTTTCAAATGCCGAATTCCTGACTTCAGCGGTTCATTTGTGAAATAGAAGAAAAGAGAACACTTGGTACAGTGTATCTGAGTGACTCTACGTCTCGATCAAGCTTCACAAATTGATTACAGAATATTCAAGATTTACGGCTTTACTTAAATAAAAAGATGTGGGCTATGATTGCTAATGAGAAAAACTATGCAGAAGAGACCAAATTAGCCCTAACTAAGTTTTAAGAGTACACAACAACCCTATTTTTTGTGCATTATATGTTCGGAAATATACGTCTTACTAATTAGCATGTTTTAGTAGCAAATGCTATATTTTAACTCTAGTCCTAAACAAAAAGGATGTTTTTCTTTTTATCTGACAAGCATAATTTCGGATTAGATAATCATACAAGTACGGAGGCTATAGGATTTATAATTCGGGTTGGCTTTGGCCGACTTCGTATTATATCCCCGACCTGACACATTATTTTTCACATAAAACATTTAAATTTCAGTTCCTTAAAGGAGACATGACACGATTTTTTTTTTTTTTTTTTTTTTTATTAAATTGATAAATATTAGTCTTCAAACATGTTTAGTACCATTTTGCTGGTCAAAACCTGATAAATCGGCATTGTTCTGGTCAAAGAATCCAGCGCTTGTCATTAAGAATGATTTTTAATTAGATAACGATCACGTGATTGTGCTTACGTCAGTGGTTACAAGCTGGGAAAATGTCTCTAACTGGACGATGTCGTTACACTATGGACGGTATTGACAGCACTTTTGCCGATTACTGACAAACTATAAAGACATTGTGTGTGAAAAATAACCAAGAAAAGGATATTAATTCTTCATGCGAAGAGTCCAAAAACGACGATTTTTCAGACAATACCGATCGTATTGTTACCATACATATTTGGTTTGTCTGATGAATAGATTAATAGACCGCTTTCTGCATATTTTTTCATTTAAATAAAACTAATAATACTTTATTATCATGATTGAAAATATAAATTTCTAATTATTGATGATCAAATTGTTCTTTTTTCTCTCTGTTACGGTAATGTTATAATTATGTGTGCGCCAGAAGCAGAAAAAAAAAATGATAGTAAAAGTCAAATTAGGCGTTCACAAAGTGTCCATTCTTTTTAACATTTATTTATTAATTAGAGACTTTTAATAGGTATAAATTATCACCAAAAGTTATGCTTATAATTTTTTTGGTTGGAAACCATACATCTCACAAAGGATTTGTATAGTGAAAAATCCTTTATCACACTATTTCTGCATTAGGATATCCAATTAACGATTTTATTACTTTCCCCCTTTTATGTAAACAATTCAATTCAATATTTTATTTACGTCTCACCTTATGTATGAGATTACACAATACAAAACATTTATTGGAGGCTGTTGTTTTAGTGATTAAATGTTGACACCTATAGCATACTTGACCAGGTGAAAGGTAAGAAGGCATCTGTAGTGTTATTTAGTCACGTGTTATGTTATTTAACTTTTAAAATCATACATTTCTAAGAAAAACTATCTTATGTTGAAATAATTAATATTGTTATACTACACTTCTAAAGTATGCTATTCCATCCAGACCCTTATAAATCTAACTTCAAATTTAAGGAATTACACATAGTAAATTCAAATTCACTTATTTCCACCCCTCTCTTCCAAATATCATTTAGCAATCAATTTGTTTATTGCTAGCAGCAAAACGCTTGATTCCAGGAAAATATTCGCAACACATTATGTTCTTTTTCAAAATATTTCTTCTAAAAGGGGTCATTTGAATAAATGTTAGATTTTCAATCGGACTGAGCAGGAAAATGTTTACATGTACATTTAACTTCAGTCTTCGAGAACATGAGTTGTGTATTAGCTGTACTTGGCTTTGATCTAGCTAACAGTATTTGTGCGTTGTCTCTATTGTTTTAACATTAGTGGTTTCTCTACTTCGTACCGATCTTTTGCGTTAGACTAGTTTTTATAGTTCTTATGTACTGCTGTAAGACCACTGTCACACGTTGGGAGGGGGAGGGGGTAGGCGCTCACAAACACGTATACCACCGACACATTTTGAATGTGCCTGTCTTAAATCAGGAGCATATAGATCAGTGGTTGCCGTTGATTCATGTCTGTTAATTTTTTTCTGCGGAAATTATTTTGTTATAAATAAGTTAGTTTTCTCGTTAAAATTGTTTCACATTTTCACGTTTAGAACTTTTATAGACGAATATACGGTATGGGGTTTTCTCATCATTGGAGACCGTACGGTAAACCTGAATCTTTACCACCTAAATAGTTGTCAATAATTATATTCGATGTTCAATATAATAAAATTGAGAATGGAAATAGGGAATGTGCCAGAAAAAGAATGTAAAAGACTTATGATTCACATTCTCGTATCATTTCCTTTTTTGCTTTTTATGCTTTTTGTCTAACAATTTCTTATGAAGTTATAGACTTGCAAGCATACAAGAATATTACTTTTCTATCTCAAGAAGTCAATTAAAAATGCATCTGTTATAAATCTTTTTATATCTGCATATTCTTAAAAGCGATAAAAATAAGAACTATATACAGGTTGTCTATTAGTTATCAACACCGGTTAGGGTATTTAATTGGTGGTGCATAGGGTATTGTATGGTCGTACTACAGGTATTCATTAAACATATGATCATGCAGGTAGTTGTACCTGTATAATGTATTACTGTAACAATAATATATTCCAATCTCACCTGTGCCCTCGGCAAAACCAGCATCCAGGATGTACACAAAGAGCTTATGAAGTAATATTGCGTAATAACTATATGTCTTATCAATCCCCCATGTGGAATGACACCTAAAGTTTGCAACTTCAAACGAGACCTGAAATTGCGAAACTCAATCATCTGTACTGTACACCTGTGACCTATGATGAACTCATGGCATGACACCCGAGACCCCAACTCTTGATTCCTTATGAAAGTGGGCGGAAAGAAGTGTAGTTTGGGCTTGTTAAAAAGTCCCATCTTTACACCTTCTAAGTCTGCGTGTCATTCGACAAACAGAAAATATCATGTCAATATTCTTTTTAATTATATTGTTGAATCCATCGGCATCACACATAATCATTGTTTATCACTGTCATGCGTTTTGTTGGATACTGATAATCGAAACTAAATTTGTGCTGTACCCATATGTCAATATGAATGA